TAAAATAAAATAATTTATATACATTTATATAATATTTACACACATAACAATTATAATAATAACATATTAATAACTTACACATAATAATATATTATTAAGTACAAGCTCGTTATATGTTAATTACGCAGGATTACACCGACGACGACAACGGCGACGAGAGCGAGACCCTCGCCACGTCAACGATCGCCACGACCGCGACGAAGCCGGTCGTTCAGCATTACGATTACAAGGACCCGAGATCCTATGACAGCGGGACCGGAGCGCAGTATAACGGGTACCAAGCGAAAAACGACTATCCGCCGATGTCTGCGCACAGCGTTCACAAGTGGCAGTTGCTCGGCACTCGCGAGAGTGTCAAAGAGACCAGGAACAACATGCAGTTGCACAAAAACAAGAGTGAGTGCACATAAAAACACACACACTCCAGTCGTTGTGTGCGAATCAACGATCTCGCGAACTTTTTTTCTCGAACATCTTCATTGACGACAAAAACAAAATAGAAAAAAAAAAAAACCAAAAAAAAACGCGCGGAAATACGATACGACGGAGAAGAGAGCGGTTCGCAAGAGCGATCGCTATCGCGATCGCGATTCCTCGTAATCGGTTTATGCAAATGCGCGTTTAACATCGTATCGTCATTTTCATCGCCGATCTGACTCGATTAATTTTAACAGCCCGCCGGATGCGCGATCTCTCCTCTTTTCCCCCACTCTCCTTTCCCGAAATAAGTTATTAATCGTCGTTATTAAAACCACGCCGGTGGTCCGCGTTCTTGGTGGCGATGTTCGATCAGCTTTAATAATACAGTCATATTTCTCGGATGTCGGAGACGCCGCGACGTGATTCTCGACGTACCTACCTACGTTTCTCTCGACGCGACGCACGTCGCGAATATTGTCGCTGTGTACGCGAACCGCAGCCGACTAACGCGTTACACGAAAATTGCGCGCGGATGAACGCTCGATATGCGCAACGTATTTGCGGCCAATCAGGCGAACACGATGTATGATCCGTCGCGGTTACGCACACGGGGCGGAAAACCGCGCATAAATCAATCGGCGGGGCGATCGAACAAACACGCATGACCCCCCCCGTCCCCCACGTGAAAGTTTCAGGCTGCGTGCGCTTTTGAAGAGAGACGTTACATTGTAATCCAAACGCACGCATCGGCCGTTGTCTAGTTAACGCGCAACAAACGTTTTATTTACTCGCGTCTCTCAACGCAAGCGCAATATAAATTCGCGATTATTTCGCGATCGGCAATGCCTCCGCACGCCTCTATTTATTTCTCGCGATTGCACCTTCTTTCTCTCGCGCGCGCGCGCGATTGTGCAAGCGTCGATCGCGCGCGCGTCTACATCTGAGAAAATATGAGAAAGGAAAAAAAAAAGACAGACACGACGTTTCGTTCTCATCAGTTGTTCTTTCGTTAACAAGCATCCACGTCGTCGTGAAAAAACAGACGTCGTCTGATATTTTCATACGAAGACGGTGAAACACACCACGTTTGTGTTATCGCAACATTTTCTACACTATGGCGTTTCCTCCTCCGCCGTTATTCCTTTCCCCCAAGTTTGTTTGTCGATTTTATAATCGAACGTATCGCGCAATTGTCCGTTTTTTTATTTTCGAACGTCAACGAAACAATTGATATCTTTGCAACGGCGTTGTCGACGCGTCAACGTTGTTTTTCTTTTCCTCCGCTTTTAAACGTATTCGCCAACCAACCTATTTTTCTCTCTGAGATTTCTCTGTTCGTTCGATAAATGCGCTCGACGGATTGCGCGACTCCTCTTTCGCGACTCGCCTTTCGAATCGCGCAACGATCGATCATGCGAGTAACAGAATTCCACGAGTGTACAACACGCACGACGAAGCTTGCTCGAACTTATTACTTCGTGTGTAAATTCACGGCGATGATTGCCGACCGGTGATTACGACAACTTCGGTAGGTTAACGTCGTCGCTCGCGTTGCGAGCGCAATGCATCAAACGCGGCCACGTGCGCGTCGCGGAATTGTCGGGCTTAATTTATGTCCGCGTTGATTAAAGCCGATTTGTCATCGCTAGTCGAGCATCGAGTCGCAACGTCAATTCTTGTCAATGTGGTTGACAAGTCGAGACAAACAATTTGACTTACATCTGTTCACCTGCAATTACCCCCTCGACAACTTGTAAGTTCCATATTTTTGTTTTGTTTTTTTTCTCTCTCTCACCAGTTCGGTGCCGAGAAAAACGTTGTCGTTATCTCTGGCTACTGGCGGTCGTTATTTTGTAATTTTACTGGAAATCGAAGTTGAAACGCGCGCTCGAGGATGACATCACGTTCCGTTACTTCGATTACAATCCTGTACACTTGCGACACGATTCGCTCGCCTTAAAGTCTGCTGTTATATCTTTCGTGGACACCGTGTTGATAACGCGCTTTTCCGCCGAGAACTCGAGTTGCAAACGAAACCAGACCGGCCGAAGAAGGGAAGAGTAAATCATCGATAAGCGCATTCCGACTCTTCCCGTGCCAATATGCGACACGCGCGATTAAACGAGAGATAGATAGATAGATATGTGCTTTATTTATAAAGCCGCTCTGGGACAGACCCCTCAAGCGCACAAATGAACAAATAGAGTAAGTGATAATACAAATATAAGTAAGCTACAAAGTAAGAAAGATATAAAAAATATAAAGAAATATAAAAAATATATAAAAATAAATAAAAAAATATAAGAAAAAAAGACAATATGTAAAAAATTTAGAGAGAGAGAGAGAGAGAGAGAGAAAGAGAGAGAGAGAGAGAGAGAGAGATTGATTGATTGATTTTGCTTTATTATTACGCTTTGGGATAAGATCCCCTCAAGCGTTAAAAACTTTTACAAAATTTAAAAAACAAATAAAATTTATAAAAACAAAACAAATAGAGAAAATATAAAATATAAAAAGAATATAAAAAGAATATAAAAAGAAGTGAGTAAGAAAAATTAACATAGAATCAACATAAAATTTTTAAACATTAGCGGCTAACAAATATTCAAAAAATTTTCTTTTAAAAGTATAGAGGCGTTCATTGCGTAGTCTACTGGAATTTTTCATTCCACGTAACAGAGTTACAGATAAATGATCGCCTGAAGAAATCTGTATGACATAACGACAAGATAAGAGTGCCACTAACAGCTGTAGTGCCATAATTAGATAGTGAGTCTCTAAAAAAGTACCTCTCATACAAGATCCGAGGTCTTTCAGTTTCCAATATTTTAAAAAGAAGATTGCCTATCCCGAGTAGAAAATCAAATACGGCCCTAAGAAGGGCGCGTTAGGTTTTGTCCTGTTGCCTGATAAGGTCTTGTTAAGGCAGCCTGACAGCGCCCTGATCAAAAATGTAACGTCGTGTTACATATGGCCCTGATAGCAGGTTTCTGACCGGGCTTTAGTACGGCGGATCCTTTACGAGCCTTATTATTTTTATAATCCCTGATAGGAGACTGTAAGGAGAAGAAGAAAGTTT